ATCGGGCAAGGCACCATCAAGATCCTATCTCACGCTGACGCTAGATCCCCCATCCCCATCACTCTCCAGCACGTCACCCACATCCCGTCCGCCACGCACAACCTCATTTCCGTCGCGTGCATCACCGAAACGGGCGCGCATGTCTTGTTCAAGGGAAATGAAGTGGAGATAAGGTCAGCGGACGGACAGCTACTAGTTACAGGTACAAAGAGCGGCCGTCTGTATAAATTAAATATTTCTACCGACTACAACGCCGCCTTTGCAGCGCGCGATGCGCGCACCTGGGACGAGTGGCACCGAACTTTCGGGCACATGAATTACGAGTACCTGCGCACGATGGCACGCCGTGGACTCGTGACTGGGATGGACGTGGACGAGACCGTCCAGCCAAGCGACCAGTGCCGCGCGTGCATCGAAGCCAAGCAGCGCGTGAAGCCGTTCCCGAAGCAGTCGTTCACTCGAGTCGGCCAGATTGGCGATCTCGCAGTATGCGATATGTGGGGACCGGCCCGGCACCGCGGTGCGCACGGTGAATATTATTTCACCATTTTTACGGACGTCTGCAGTCGCTATGCCGTCCGCTTTTTCTCGGGTGACAAGAAAGATCAACTCGACTCCGTCAAAGCCTACCGCGCATTCCTCAAAACTCAGAAAAACGCGCGCTTGAAGGTTATCCGAGTCGATAATGGCAAGGAATTTGTTAACCGCCCGATCAAGCAATTCCTCCGCTCGCATGGCATCCACCTAGAGCTCACTGCGCCACACTCGTCCGCGCAGAACGGGATAGCTGAATGCTCATTCCTGACCGTACTGAACGCCGCGCGCGCGATGCTTTTCGAAGCGAACCTCCCTATCAAACTATGGCCCGAGGCCGTAAACTACCCTATCTATCTCAAGAACCGCGCCCCGACGCGCGCGCTCCCCGACAAGACGCCCTTTGAGGCATTCTGGGGCCGCAAGCCCGATGTCTCTCACCTGCGCGAGTTCGGCGCTACGTGCTGGGTGCTGCAGCAGGACACTGCTCTCCACAAGCTCGCGCGCAAGTCACGCGCATGCCGCTTCCTCGGCTTCTCAGAGGAGTCCCGCGCCTACCGCCTTTACGACCCCGCGACGCGCCAGGTTATCACCTCGCGCAACGTTATTTTCGACAGGACCGGCGTCCAGTTTGAGGGGGAGATCCCGCACGCGCCTCCTCTGGCAGTTGAGGGGGAGGATTCTAGTACGCACCTGCCCGAGGACTCCGCGTCCGCTCCCGCACCCGCACCAGCCACACCCGCTGTGAAGCCCATCACCGCATCCCCGAAACCTTCGCCTTCGCAAATTCCCGTATACGCGCGCGCCACTCGCCGCGCTGCAGCCAACATCGACTACTGAAAGGCAAACAACCCGAACGCGCGCAAACCTGCACCGCGCTTCCAGCAGCCAGCGCCACCCGCACTGCCTGCACCCGCTGATAATGCGCCCAACTCCACCGCCTTTGCTGACGATGACAAAGAAGACTACATTTTTGCCGTGAACGCAAATGACGACCCGCAGTCGCTTGCGGAGGCTCAGGCACGACCAGACTGGCCCGACTGGAAGGACGCGATGGACCGCAAAATCGCGCAGCTCCAGCGTCTCGGCACCTACACACTCACGCAGTGCCCGCGCGATCGCAAGCCCATTGGCTGTAAATGGGTATTCCGCCTGAAGCGCGACACGACCGGCCGCATCGTGAAGTACAAGGCGCGCCTCGTCGCGCAAGGCTTCTCACAAATCCCCGGAGTCGACTACATCGAAACTTTCGCGCCCGTAGTCCAACTCGAAACCCTGCGCGTTCTCCTCGCACTCGGCACGCTTCTCGACCTCGATATCCAAGTTGTCAATATCGTCGGCGCCTACCTCAACGGGCGATTGCGCGAAGAGATTTACATGCGCCAACCGCCTCTATACGAGAACGGCCGCCCTGACGTGTGCCGCCTCGAGCGCACGCTCTACGGACTCAAACAGTCCGGCCGTGAGTGGAACATCGAGCTCGACACTGCGTTCAAGCCGCTCGGTTTCACGCGGCTCATCTCGGACCAGTGCGTGTACTCGCGCGCACGCGATCGCGACCTTTGCATTGTCGCAGTGCATGTCGATGACATGACCATGCTGACCTCCTCGCCCGACGCGACCGCCGCGCTCAAGAGCGAGATCACTGCTCACTTCGAGATCTCAGATCTTGGCCCGATCCGCCAGGTCGTCGGCCTCGAAGTCTCGCGCGACCGCGCCGCCGGCACACTCGAGCTGCGGCAATCCCAGTACATCGACCGCATCCTCGAGCGCTTCGGCATGGCCAATGCGAACCCGGTCGACACGCCGCTCGATGCGCACGTCCGCCTCCGCGCCAATGACGGCCCTGAAGACGCAGAGCTCCGCGTGCTCTACCAGGCCATGGTCGGCTCACTTATGTACGCCGCCCTTGGTACGCGCCCCGATATTGCTCACGCCGTCCAACAGCTGAGCCAATATTCGAGCAATCCCGCGCCTGCGCATCTCACGGCCGCCAAGCGCGTCTTCCGGTACCTGAAGGCGACGCGCGACCTCGGCATCGTGTACACCCGAGACGTCGACCGCCCCGCATCGCTCGAGCCCATCGGCTACTCCGACGCCGACTGGGCCAATGACCCGGATGACCGCCGCTCCATTTCAGGCCAGATCTTCATGATGGCCGGCGGCCCCGTCTCCTGGTCCTCGCGCAAGCAACGGACCGTCGCGAAGTCTTCGATGGAGGCCGAGTACATGGCCGCGAGCCTCGCGACCTCCGAAATCGCGTGGCTCCGCATGCTACTGACCGAACTCGACTTGCAGCCGACCGGACCGACCACGCTCTACGTCGATAACCAGAGCGCGATCGTGTCCGCGAACGCTCAAGTCTTGCACGCCCGTACGAAACACATTGATATTCATTATCATTTCGTACGCGAGCGGATCACCTCTAACGAGGTGGAAGTCATCCACTGCCCCTCCGAGGACAACGTCGCGGACGCCCTCACCAAGGCTCTCCCGCGCCCGCACCATCAAGCGCTCATCACCCTTATGGGCATGCGCGCCTGACGCCCGGCGTCGAGGGGGAGTGTCGGAGGGTGAGCGCCGCCGAGCGTGGCGCGAGCCCGACGCCGACATCCTACTCGGGGTGTCGGGCGACCGCGAGACTTGATTAGTAAGCCCCGGAATACCGACGCGCTTGTTGTAGAATAATCGTGATATTTCCTGTACTCTAGCAGCTAAGTAGTATATATACAGGCGACATCGAGCCTACGCTCGTCGTCCTCATTCCACCACAGCGCTCACATATTGACAGGCTCTAGTGAACATTGTAGTAGAAACCGAGCGCGAGACGGGGATGACAATGATCATGAAGGGTAAGACACTGACGCAGCAGGGAAGGTCCCGATAAGTTTCACGAGCTGGTGCATATCAGCAAGATGCTCAAGAATAAACGTGCCTTGCCGTACCTTGAGAGTGCTCGCTGGAATTCGGCGGTGAAGCGGCAGAATTCATCGGCATCATAAAACCGCAGCCAGTATAATCTGAAATCATCGATAGCCCACTGGCATTCGTGTGTGTCCTAGTAGTCTATGAGGAAGTATTCTGACCCGCTCTGGAAGGGACGCTGATGCTCACCTCCCATATATAAAAGCACCAGGAGTTCGTGATGACGTCACAAAATACAACATCCAAGCTGTCGTAGTCTAAGATGACCAATATGGCTAGAAGGTAGTCCGGTAAGACTCCAGTCTCGGAGAGGGAAAATGTGCTTAACTCTCACTCCTTTGGGTGGTAGCACCCTTTAGCACGAGACATGTGTTGACCATGATCACAATTCCATCAGCGCATTTATTGTCGTCTTCTCCATTGCCGCGATGTTCCATGTAGAATGCTTCGTAAACCCGTACATAAATGAGACTTTAGGTGCCGTCAATAGCTTCAGCGGGGACCAATGAAATACTGGGAACTTACATATATCCCGAGGTTGCGATACTCGCCATTTTGAAAGGAGGTCAGTGGATACTATGTAGATTAGAAGTGGTAGGATTGCGGGAGACTGTTGACGTCGTACGCATGCTATATGTAAAGTTCTATATGTGCATGTGCCTTGTGTCTCTTTGCCTCAGGTGAAAGTCGATGGGGTCAAAGGTTACACAATGCACAAACCGGCTTCGGCTCTCGTGAGACCACGTCTGAGTCTGAGGGAGATGAGCGTGTTGTTCTCGTGCGCAAGGCTGAAGTGGAGAGCGAAAGACAATAGTTTTGGATGTGCCGCTCGAAGGGACCTGCTTTGACTTTAAGTTCTTTGCTTATCATGCAATGTGGTCCCTGTGCCCCGAGTTCAGTGCAAGTTGGATTTGGCGATCATTCCGAGGTGGTTAGTCGTAGAAGCGTCTGCGCGCTTTGGTGGCTCGTCCTTGTGCTTTATGCGCAGGACAATGTCCCTACATTAAGCACCTTGTCTCATGTCGCCGATACGCGAGGTACAGATCCAACCAGTATGTCCGCTTATTTTTGCATTGTCTAGCTCTCATTCTAGCCTTAGTATGGCTGCAATGTGTCTTTTTGCTCTTTGTCTCCACGGCCACATCTGCGTTTTTTGCTCTCGTAAGCGATAACTTGTACACCTTTGTTCTGGAACACGGCTGAGACTAGGGCTGTCGATGGTACAGTAACAGCGATACATATATAATGCTGGCCGATACGCTGATCCCCCCATCACGCAGTCATCCTATCCACTATACATCTCTCATCCCTACGAGAAAGCACACGATGTCATTGCAAGTCATGAAACAGTATCCCGAAGACACGGGTCTCCAGGTATGCTCCGGTCGCATGCCCTTCGGCCCCGCTTACTGACATTGGCCACTTTAAAGGTACAGGAGCCTGCCCCAACCCCGCCCTTGGAGGTGCAGGCCATCACCCCCAGCTGCGAATTTTGGCAGCACGCGCTGGGTGTCGCTCGCCGTACCCTCATGCTCCTGAAGATGCCTGCTTCTTACTTGCTATTCTCGACATTGGCTATCTTCTTGTTCGTTGCCGTGGTCAGCTTTGTCATCGACACCGCACACGACAGCCTTGTATCCCTATGTGACCTCCCGGGCATGATGCACCTTCCCTTCTGCCCTACGATCCCGTCGTGGTCTGCGGACAATCCGATCCTCCATCATGTGGACTACCCTGGTCTCGTAAAGGTGCAAAACAGCCTCCTCGACGACCTGGTCGGCCAGTCGGCTAGTGGCCAGGTGCTGGCATTGAACGTCAAGCACGCCGAGCTAGCGGTTAGGGACCTGATCGGCCTCGTTCGGGCGAGCAACTTGACTGGGAGAGACGCCCTTGCGGACGCGCTGAGCGGCTTCGTTTCCGACGCCCAATTGACTGGTCGGGGTTTACAGCAACTGTCGGCCAAGATACACGGAACTGTGGACAGGTGCACTAAACCGATTACCGCTTACAAATATATTGGCTCATGATAAATTGCAGTATCGCAGCGTTCAACACCCACGCCTACTACACGATCAGCTCGAACGGTGTACAAGGTGCCTCATACACCAATGGCGTCCTCGCGCGTACCTTTCAAGTTTCAACGGATGCCCTGGCCGCCCAAGTTGGTCGTGTTCTTGTGGCGGCTAGTACCTCGGCGTTGGACCTAGACCGTCTGGAGGAAACGCTCACCATCATCCACGAGCTCTGTGCGCGCGAGGCGATCTTGCAACATATCGTTGCTGATGATCTTCTTTGGAACTTGTGGACCCTCGTCGGGCTCAACCGAGCAAAGCTGCGGGATCTCAAGCGCCGTGGCCTGGTCCTCAAGGAAGTCAAGCGGTTCCGGAACCTCGCCGTCGGCTATGTTGCGGCCACGACCCAAGCGCTGCAGGTCGCCGATGCGGAACTCCTCGAGTTACGGGATAGGCTTGCGGATGCCAGCGTCGGGATGGAGGATATACCTGTAGAGGTTCAACTTGCCAGCATCGAGCGCATGTTGTGGAGGTTGAAGGTGGAGGGATCGCGTGTGCGCGCCGATCAGTCGGTGGCTCGTGCGGAACTGGACTGAAGTAGGGTGCACCGATGACACGAATCAGCCTGTATAATATGCTCTTGGCCTACATTAATGGAGTGGAGAGCTCATTGCATATTCTCAACCAACACTCGCACCGTACCGTTCATGTAGACTCGCCGGAAACGCCTGTTGTGTGGCAAGAATGGGTTAAGACATATAAGCTACTTCAGACGTCGAGCTGTGTTGACAAGACGGACCGACAGAACGAGAATTATCCCATCGCATCACGCTTTCGTCTGGTTCAACGAACACCGTACTGCACGTTGCATCATCGGGACAACTATCGTCCGTCGGCATGCGTTTTGTGGAGTCGCAAGCGATGCTGAGGGACAGCTGTTGACGCGCGAAATCCGAAACAAGCGTACATGCTGGCTCTTGCGGCAGGCGCTGACGGGCCGCTCGCCGTTGTACGTCCGGGCGAAGAGCCGTGGACGCGGACGAAGGAGCGCATATCCAACTAAGTTGACTTCGGATTGAATGGTTGTGAGCACATATGTACAGACCGAGCAGTGAGGAAATGAAACGAACGATTGGGGTGCTAGGTCTGCGGCGGCCGCACTGAGATCGAGCGTCCAACCATCTGCGAGGGTACACAGACCGACGGAGGCGGAGCGCATGGGAAGTTGTTGGCGGACCTGGTACCCGACGAGTACGCACGGTGCACACGCGCAGCACATC